ATATATTTTATTCAAAAATAAAAACATCATCGCTTTCTAAAAATCACATAAAGCCATATTATAACATCGACCGATATAAAGAATAAAATGAAATATTAAAATCACGATGTATCTCGCTGCATTGCGCGAGTACGTTTCTAGTATATATATATATATATATAAAGACTTATCAACAATTAAATTAATAAATATTATTAATAACGTACGTGGTGTTTTATTTAGACATAATTATTAATAGCTTTTAACTAATTATAGTGATATTTATTTGGTAACAAGAAGCATAAGTTTATATCCAAAATATATGACACACTTTTCTCAATCACATTTAGACATCACGAGTAGAGATGGCCAAACGGGCTCGGCCCGGCTCGGGACCGTCGGAGGACTGGGACCGGGACCGACAAAGGACCGGCCCGGGACCGGGACCGGGACCGACAAAGGACCGGCCCGGGACCGGGACCGGTAAGGACCGGTTATGGGACCGAAAACCGGGACCGGTTAAGGTTTTTGGTAGTTTCGTGGGACCGGGACCGACCGGGACCGGTTATGGGACCGACTATGGACCGGCCCGGCCCGGCCCAAAAATTCAATTAATTTTATAAATAAATGTATTTTTAAATAATTTTATAATGTATTTTTATAAGAAAACGTATATTTTAATTATATTAAAACGCATTTTTAAAGTGTATTTGAGTGACCCAATTGTAAATTTTATAATGTATTAAAAATATATATCATTAAAAAAATAAAATAAAAATCTTATTTTTTTTATGTAAGGACCGGTTGGGACCGGGACCGGGACCGGGACCGGCGGCTCATAACCGGTTATAAAGTACCTATACCGGTCCTATCTGTAGTTTAACAGGTTTGCCGCCTTGCAATGATTTTGGTCCCTCGGTTTAACGACAGTTAACTTTTTTCGTTAAGTCCAATTTAATAATGGGTATTTTAGTCATTTTATCTATTTTTTTAGTTTTCTTTACAATTTTAAATAAGCGTTCCCAGTTCTGATCGTCTTCTCCGAAAGTCTGTACATTCTGATTGTCTTCTCCGACGCTTTGTCCATTCCGATCGTTTTCTCCGACCGCTTCTCCACATCAAATCACAAATAAAAACTCCAACTTCAAAACCGTAAAATTCAAATCTTCATGAAAAATCAAAGTCAAATCCCTATTCTTGAAACCCCCCTCCCCCACCTGCAAAAGCACTCCACCACCACCATTATATATCTAACCTAAACCCCTAAATCCATAAATCGAACCCTAAATCAAAATCAAGCCCATAAAGGATATGACATAGGGATGTAGAATTTGGTGAGAAAGGTGCCGAATCCGAACAAACGTCAAGGAAAACCATGGCGTTCTTACTGGTTCGTCTAGTCGCTGGTTATCGCGGGGAAAAGGGTTGAAATAGATAGATCAAAACCTAAACCAACTTTGAAGAAACAAAACCGAGGCTTTGATTTCCACAGAGGAACAAAATGGATTGACGTAGAAACAGTAAGGGTACGTTTGGTATGCATACTACATGGGACAAGACGAGACAAAAAAAATAGTCTCATGTTTGGTAATGCCATAGACAAAAAAACATAGGACAAGATGAGACTATTTTTAATTTTCATGGGACAAATCTTGATATTTTTTGTTCCACCAAAAAAGGTGGAACAACAAGGGACCAAATTTAAAATGACCATATTACCCTTGTTATTTCATTTCAATAAAAAAAAACTAATTCATCCCATTTGTGTGCAGCTATCACCTCCATCGTCTTCTTCCAGCGCCTCCATTGTCTTCTTCCTTCACTTCCATTGTCTTCTTCCACCCTGCCTCCATCGCCTCCTCTCCTCTGCAATCGATACGATTTCTCCATTTCTCCATCTCACTTCTTTGCCTGCGTAGGATTTCTCAATTTCTCCACTGCGTATGATTTCTCCATTTCTCCTTTGCACACAAATAGTAAATAAGAATGAATGATGATGATGAAAACATGGTCCAAAAAACTAAATGTAAGGTAAATACATGAAGTCAATAATTATTAGACCATTTCTCCTATACACACAAACAGTAATCAAGAATACCCAAAAAACACATGAAGGTAAACATTAACCAAAAACATGTCTCAAAACATAGTCTAAACAGAATGTAAAGTAGATACATGTAATGCTGATTCTCGTTAGAAGGCATTTGCTGGCAGGCGATTTCACAGCTAATCTCAAGTTACTTCAAAGTCACCCATCCACAAATGTTAGTCATTTGCTCTAGGTTGCCAACAAGTTGAGTTCCCATTCCACTTCATTGATTTTGTAGGGTTCTTTTCTCTTTTGTATCGTTAGAGTTATAATCGTTCTCTTTTTAGAATTCCTTATTCCAGTTAGTAGTTTTTATGATCCACAACATGCAAAATGTCAGTCAATAAAGTATAGCATGCAGGGATAGTACGAAAACAACCATGGTAGTTGGAAAAATCTCAAAGAAGTGATATGTATATGGTAGTACTTGATGTTCAATTGTTGAGTCATTGCTTGTTGAAAAATGCTCATTTATTTGCTGAAAAATGCATCTGAAAAATGCTCATTTAGTCATTGTTATTTTGGGTCATTGTTTGTTGAAAAATGCATCTTGGGTCATTGTTTTGATTATTGTTTAATGTATTGGGTTAATAAATTAATATCTATCAGTTACCCATTGCTATAATGTATATCTATATTATATCATAAAACATTTGAGAAAAACTCTTAAAATTTATTTTTTTATGCATAAAATACTATTTATTGATACATATTACTTAAAATTCAAGGTTACAAGTAAATTGTACGTAAGTATAACTTATTAAAGCTTCATGTTTGAATTTGTGTAACTAACTGCGAATAAAGATAAACATCTCATTTTAAAATATAAAAAATCTAAAATATAATTAAGATAATTATCGAGTTCTAACAAAATAATTAATTATATCTCTGTATAAAAATTATATTATTAAATAAAATATAAATTACTTTGTTATTAAACTTAAATTAAATTATAAAAAAAATTGAATTAAAATTTATATTTTATTTAAAAATAAAAATATTATATTTTTTTAAAATTACATAAAATTATATTATATCATCAATAGAATAAAAAAATAAAACAAAATATTAAAATGTTTTTTTTATTCCACGATCACCCATTCTGGTATGATTATATGTATCACCTGATTTGTATGTATATATGACTGATGTATCACCTTCTTGGGTTGGAATCTCCGTGTTCTTCCCACTCACAAACATACATACATATATATACATACAGATACCCCCTTCTCATCCGCAGGAGATTCGATAGATATATAGAGAGAGAAAGTAGTGAGAGAAACAAACCCAAATATCTCTCTCTCTCTCTCTCTCCTTCTTGCTACACATATATACAAACATTCACACATTGATTACACGCACAAGAAAATGAGCTAAGAGAGATAATGAGCTTGATTTTGGTTCCAATTTTATCGGTTCATTTGTAGATTTTTAGATCTTGTAAAATCTCAGCGGTTCCACGAAGATTTTGCTGCATTTTCTTTTCTTTGTGGTTCTTGATATTTTATCTGTTTAATCGCGGAGGGAATAATCGGATTTAGTTATCGCTTTTGTTGTTGATTCAATTATTTCGCGGCGGCAAGTGTTGGTACTTGTACTTGAGGTTGATACGGTGGAACTTAACGTGAATTCGTGTCTGTTTCGAAATGGATGATAGAGGCAGCGGCGGCGGGGGATCATTTGTGGCAGTTAGGAGGATTTCACAAGGGCTTGATAGGAGCAACACTTGCCAATCAACTTCAGGTATATCGTTTTCTTATCCAAAAAGAGATGTGTTTAACTTCATTCTAATTTGTGGAATATATTGGAATTTATCATGTTTCTGTGTCAGGACTTAATTTGTAGAACTTTGGATCTGTCTCGATTGAATTTTAGATGATTACTTGCATTGATCTTTGTGGTGAGTTGAGCTTGCTTACAAGTGTATATTGTATCCAACTATCAGTTATATTTCCGTTTTTGCTGGTGTTTTTTTTTAAATTTTGTAAGCTTAATTTGGAAATTTCATTCAGATGTTAGTTTGAATCCTTGTCAAATGTCAAGTAGGGGGCCTCAATCCGAAAAAAATTAGTACACTTTGATGAAAAGTAATCACAATCTATAGGTAGATTATAATTGTTATTAAGTTATATGATATACTTCCATTATTAAGGAAATTCGGTAACTATTATTGGGGGTAAACTGTGCAATCATCTTAGTTTTAGAATTATCAAATGAAGCGAGTTTATAATTCCTTTTGGTAACTGGGTTCTATGATTGATATTGTGCAAGAACAAGTTTGAATCTAAATGTTAATTTACTTGCTATAAATTCGTCACCTAATTCCACTTTTTGTTTACCATGAGAACTTTAGACATAGATTAGTTCTTGCATTGGATTCAACTTTAACTTTGGAGGCGATTTAAATATTCTTATTTTCATTTAGTCAGAGTACCACCTCCAATAATGTTGAATATGTCTTGTAGCTGCTTGATTCATTTTCTGGACAAGAAACTGTGTAAGCTGATAGTCAATGTTGTGTCTTGTCTAAATTGTTCTTACTAGATGTTTGGATTCTCTTTGGGGAAACATAAGTGTACTATAAATATTGGGCTTACTAGATCCTGTTTCATTCTGAGTTACTGTATAGTGTTGGCCTACTTAATAATATCTAGCACATTGGTATGTCAGACATCTGATTCCTTGGCATGTGTCAGCCGATAATAATTGTTCACCTAAAATGTGGAACACTTTGATTATTATTTTGCTACAACTAAAACACCACTTTAATTGGTCGATGACGTTGGCTTCTGAATAGTTGAGAAACATTTACTGTTTCAATTATAGGAGCTGAACTTTCATTTGAGTTGCTTGCAATTGTTATCATGATTGACATTTGGCGATCAAGTGAAGATGAGATTTTGTTGTTCTTTCTCGGAGCGGAGTTCTGTTGTTATTGTTATTTATTAGCTTATTTGCTTTTCAAGTTCTTTTTTCAACCATTATATACTTTAACCCTGAACTTCTCAACGACTTGGGAATTCATTTGCTTTTGGCATATGTTTGTCTTTCATTACAGCCGAGGTTGTGGCAGGGTCAGCAGCATGGCTTGGCAGAGGCCTTTCATGTGTTTGTGCTCAGAGAAGAGAAGATGATTCTCGCGCGTCATTTGATTTGACCCCTGCCCAGGTCCTGTCTTAACCCAACTAATATGATAAATGCATTTGATTTGTTTGTAATTTTTATACCCATAAGGCAATGCTTACTGCTTGATAATTCTTAGTGTCAGATTTTCCATGAACACAATGAACTATGACCTAATATTAAGCTCTCACTGTTTTATCAATAGTGCTTGTTCATGTGTCTTGAATTGCAGCTTTCCTACGGGGGCAAAATGTTCTCATCTTTATGGAAATGTTTAACCACTTCCTGATGTAGATAAGAATATTAATTGTGCCAGTTTGCAGTTCGTTGTGTTCTATCTTGGGAATTGTTAACTTTTCTCCATCTTTGTGGATGTTAGGACAGGGTGGGACTGGGGAATGGACGCATGGTAGATTTTATGTTTGAAGTCATCTCGACATATATACTTGATTCATTTGTATAAAGTGGAATAACAGCTTAACTCTGCTTTCAGTTTGCAGATTGCAGGAAAAGATAAACATTTAGGTTTAATCATTATAACAATCTCTTTGAGCTTTAACTATTGTTAAATGATTCTGATGCTTCTATTTTCTTTGATGCTAACAGGAGGATTGCTTATTGAGGCTGCAAAACAGATTAGACATTGCCTATGATAGTTCAATTCCAGAACATCAGGTACATCTCCGTATATGTCATAAATATACCTAATATATGATTTCAGGAGAATAAACACCCATTCTTGATGTTTGTATCATTGTTTGTCATACTTGTGAATGTATACATTCATTGAAACAACCACTCTACTCTTTGCGGTAGAGGTTAGATTTTCATACATCTCACCCCCTAGACCCTACTTTCGAATGGGATTTACTGGATTAGTTTGGTTTGGTTTTATGTGTGAATTTACATGTGATTTTTACTAATGAAGATATTAAGTTTGAACACACAATCGTGATGATATATATCTACTCTATTTTTCTTTAGGAAGCATTGAGGGCATTGTGGAAAGCTGCCTTTCCTGAAGAGGAGCTCCATGGTCTAATCACTGAGCAGTGGAAGGAAATGGGCTGGCAAGGGAAAGATCCTTCCACTGATTTTCGGTAAAATTACATTTCCTGTTTTTCCTTAAGAGCTACCATTGATCTTATGTATTAAGACCTGGAATTCCATGATAGGGGTGGTGGGTTTATATCATTGGAGAACTTGTTGTATTTTGCAAGAAATTTCCCGGTATGTCTTCTCTCTCAATACATCTAATAGCTTTTGGTTTATTTGTAATAAATAACTAATCTCTGCACCCTTTTGCTGTTTACACATGATTAATCAATTCTGACCAAGGGGACATGGAAAAGGTGAAACCTGGGTCCCTTTTTGTTGACACATGATGACACGATTAATCAACCATGATGCCATCTTTTTTCTAGTCTTGGGGCCGACATTTGAAAATCCAAGGCGCATTTTATTCAGAAAATCCATGCCATGGTCTACACACTGTTTACATAATGCCCTTTGAATTGGTTAACCGTATCTTCTATAGCTCAAATCACTGTGTATGCATACACCTATAGAATATAGATACATACATTTCTGTTGACCTGCAAATGTGTGTGCACATGTGTATTGAGAAATGGTTTTGTTAAAGGTGCTTGTATGCTATATACAGGGCGAACCGTAATGGGAGCATATGATGGCCTGTGCCACCACTTTATGATTCTTTTGTAGAGGAAAAAAATTTACATTTGTGAAGGGTGCCACCGTACTGTTTCATTGTGTGGCCCAATATTTCTTAAAACTGAACTTATGACAGAAGTTTGTGATGGTTGAGTTGGTTTAAGTCACCGGATTTATTTGAAATGTCGTGGGTTTGAATCCCAGTTTTAGCAAATTTCCTGTTTTCAGTTTTTAATGTAAGGCTTTCTATAGTTATTGTTTCGTTTAAAGATTGAAGGAAAGTGACCGTGGGAGGGGTTGAACCTATGACCATTTCTTGCAAATGCAAACAACTAACTAACCAACGGATCTATCATTATTTTGTGAAATTTTTTACAGCTTTCACCTTTTTATTGTCAAGTGGAGCCATCACTTAAAAAATTATGGGTCCTCCTCTGGCTATATACTACGAGTCTGCAAGTGTTTGGAACTAAACATTAAGCATTCATGTAAATACCGGTTATTTGTTCAATGGATACATTCAAACAAACTGCTCCATTATGTACCTTCTGAATTATTTCTAGGCGTTTATCTGTAACTTCCGAAATTACTCTTTGGTGTTAAATTACTATGTTCTATGCAGAAGTCATTCCAAGATCTTCTTCGAAAGCAGGAAGGTGACCGGTCCATGTGGGAATATCCTTTTGCTGTAGCCGGTGTCAATATCACATTCATGCTTATTCAGATGCTGGACCTTGAAGCAGGTTCGGTAAATGTAAAATGTTCACTTGTTAAAAACTTCTTGTGAAAAACAAGAAAAACATTGAAGTTTGAAATTTGTGCATTTTCAACCATATTAACTTTTCACTTTGTTACATAACCATTTATACTTTGTCAACTTTTGGTATAAAAAATGCACGAAATTGTACACGCCAATGTTTTCTTTTGGATTTTCTATGGTCCAGTGGTTGTTTGCAGGGAAGTGACAAATATAGTGTTTGAAATCTAATTCACTTATTTCTTTATAATAAAGTTAAATTCTCTATTTTTCTCCTTTGGCTCCTACAGATGTATTTGTTCCATATGTTAATTCTGATTTTTAACCAGTACATCTTGTTCAATGAGGAGAAAACTAGAAATTAAAATTTGTGATATACATATTACATTGTCATACCAAATTTCTTCGAGTAAAGTCCGAATGCTTAATTTGCGAGTGATTTTTGGAATTGATTTTAAAAGAGTCGTTTACAAGTTCAATTCTTTTGTTGGATGATACTGTTTCCTCTCTGCAGTAAAACCACGAACTTTGGTGGGAGCGACCTTCTTGAAGTTTCTTTCAGGTATACACGGCCACTCATTTTTAGTTGTTGTCATGCTTAGATAACTTCTTTCCGAAACGCTTGGTGAGAAACTGATGTCTCTGAAGTGGCTTGACATTGCAATGTTGGGCCAAAGGCCACTTGCTATGTGTCGAATACTAAGTCACAAATGAACATCATGATTAATAACTCTTAGGCCAGGAATGGCAAACATGACCTAGTCTTATTTTGAGCTTATTGAAAAAGCTTTGTTTGGTTAAGCATAATTATAGTAAGCTAGCTTCTCTGAGATGTGTTTTTTTTCCAATTATGTCGCTTATATTTTGCCAATTAACTTTTCAACATGTCAGTTTAGGTCATGTTACATTGTTATCTAGCTTCTCAGCTAGTTTTTTTAATCAAACATGACTAGTTTATTAGCTAACAGCTAGCTTTATCAGCTAGTTTGCCAATCATAGCCGTTTCCGATCACATTTAACCATTTCACAGTCAGGAGCTTCATGGTTTGCTTTTTGTTTACACAACAGTTTCTTTCTTCTAAATTTTTTCTTAGAATTCATACTTCTCTATTCATCGGACAGATAACGAATCAGCCTTTGACATCTTGTATTGCATCGCGTTCAAGTTGATGGATCATCAGTGGCTTGCCATGCACGCCTCTTACATGGATTTCAACGTATGTGCTTTCCTTCCCACGATCATACATTTAGTTGAACTGGCTCGTATGTTGGCCTTGATCTAAAATGACCTCTTCGGGTTATTTTCAATTTTCCATTTCTTATTTGAGGTTGTTAACATCATAGGTCTGAACCTCGCAAACCTTCTTGACACTTGGATTCCATCTGTTATAATCAACAACACGTAATCATAAGAATCAGAACTTCTGAAATATACGTTTTAACTATCATGTCTCTATACACCAAGGCTCCTCAATTTGCTATGTAGCCTTGCCTTGGCATATTGCAATTTGCAAAGAGATCAATTTATAAAGACTAAGGGGCTGTTTACGAAACGCTTATCCGGTAAGCGCTTACTGGTGACAGTCAACACTCTCATTTACTTTACTGTGTAAGATTCTAGTCCATCAAAACGGCATTTTATGCAACAATTTGTCTGGTAAGCGCTAACCAGGCAAGAGTCATCACCCTCATTTACCGGGTAAGACTCTCGGTTTTTACCATCGCTCTTACCAGGTAAGATTTTGTGTCGTTGCCATGTACATCCGGTGAGGTAAATGACCCGATAAACGCTTACCGGGTTAGCGTTTGGTAAATGCCCCTAAAATTGCCAATTGCTCCAATACTCGTCGCAGTCGAACTATCTATAACAAAAAAAAAAAAAAAAAAAACTATAGCACTGATGCTGCTTTCGATACACGGACAGGACTGGTTCTGACAGGATTGTACGGGAGTGAGTGAGTGAGGTAGGTGAGTGAAAAAATTGTAGAAGGTTGTAGGGTTTTAACCTATTTTGGTGGAAAAAATTGCATTTTTGTCCCACTCAGTCCTATCTTGTCTTTAAACCGTTATAAATGGGTTGCCAATTGTTGAGCAAATGTTACGATCATATGACTTCAATCTGTAAATGTATGCATGTAAATATAGGTATGCATATGTATGTATGTATGTATGTATGTAAGTATATGTAAATTTAATGTATGTATACATGTATATGCAAGCTTTTATAAATTGTAAGGTTGTTAGAAATGCGTTGCCTATTGCTGGGCAAACCTGCTTTAAACATAGGTCAACCAATTTTTGTTCTGTACTCATGTCCTACGTACCAACCCTGACAGGGTACGATCTTCAACTCAGGTCCCTCTTTTTCTGGTTTTGTGAAATCTAATCTTGTTTCTTTGCGCGATACAGGCTGTGATGAAATCAACAAGACATCAGCTGGAAAGAGAACTTTTGGAAGATGACATAACACGGCTCGAAGAGTTACCCTCTTACACACTCCTTACTCAATAATGGTTAGTCTGTTTGATCCAACAATATTATTAGTTGCGAGGTGAGAAGATTCACATGGTCCATGATGATCGAGTGATGCTAGAAGTAGACAGTTTTACAGTCGATGTTTAGCATAATATCACGCTCGTATCAGTGTTGTTAACCATCATCCAATTTGACTTCCGACTAGTTCCTAGTCGTCATGACGGTGTGGCAGAAGATCTCTATGAATCATGTACTTTATGAATACAAAACTACTATAAACGAACAGGACCCGAAAGAATTTGGTCTGTATCAATATTATTGTGACTAGCGGGTTGGCTTTGCCCAAAACTTCACAAGATAATGTTGAAGTTCTTATGCGGATGATACTATCACGGGTTAATCATTAAAATAGCCGAGGGGTTTTGCTACAACAAAAAGACTCTGAATTCCACGTTTTTTTTTTGACAAGATGCACCTTTTTTTTCTTGGTGATCTCGAAAAAAGAGGAGGGGAATCTGGACCTTTGATCTCAAAAAAAGTGATCAAAGGTTCAGATCCCTCTTTACACTTCTACCAATATAAAACACCAAAATTGTAATTTTTAATGCAAAAACCGATGCAAATTTATGAAATCATCTTCAATTACATTATTTTTACCCAAAAAATATTTTAAGTATGGTTTTCTTTATCTTTATTACAAAAAATTTCCATATCACCTTCTATATTTATTAACCTTACTAATATATTTTATATTTTCACGAGAACTTTATTAATACTATTTAAACTAGATTATAGTTCTTAATTAATTCCTAATTTGAAGTTTTACATTCTAAAATGGAGCAAAGTTGTATTCACAAACTCATGTGTGACTTCAATTTTCAAACTAATGAGTCGTTTACCAAATGCTTATTCGGCTAAGCGTTTGTCAAGTTACATTTACCTTCTTCTTTTTTGAAGTATATAATATTTATATACGGCAAATGCAATAAATAAACTCACACACCCTCCTCTCCTTTGGTGAGGTTTGACCCCTTGACCTTCTAGGAAGCCAAAGGCTACGATACCGCTAGGCCGAAGGCCTTTTGGTAAGTTACATTTACCTTATTGGAATATGATCAGAACCAAGAATCTTACTGGTAAGAGCGAGGCAAAAACTGAGAGTCTTACCCGATAAGTGTGGGCAATGACTCTTACCACGACCAGCTCTTACCGGGTAAATTGTTGCATAAAAAGCCGTTTCTGTCGACGAAAATCTTACCCGGTAAGTAAATGATAATGTTAATTTTACTGCTAAATGCTTACAAGATAAGTGTTTAGTAAACGGCCCCTAAGTCAGGCTAACAACAAAAATATTGATTAAAATGAGTAAACAAGAACGTTAAGATGATTGAGATAATTCTATTTATTCTATTATTTAATTTTCCACAATTGAGTGGATGAATACAAATAAGAGAGTAACATCTATTTATACTAATTTATAAAATTATTTAGAGACTTTATCTAGATATTTACTAGGAAACTTCTAACTACACAAGGGACTAAATCGTATGGACCCTTCTAGAATATCTTTGGAGACTAATGATTATTGTTTGACTTTTCATGATTCATCTTCAAGGTTCCTTCATTCTTTTGATTGATCAAAATGTTATGAATTTATTCAAACAAATATGAAAATAAACGCTCTTCCATATTTTTTTCTCACGTATTATTCTATAGATATGTATTTTTTTGTTTCGATAGTCAATATTTCTCTTCTTCGTGTGTAATGAGTTTATATTTTATATATATATATATATATAGAGGGATGTTATTCTACACTCTTTGTCATTCCTACACCTTATACAACCCTTATCTCAACCATTCAATTTTTAATCAATTAATTGTTTCCTAATATAAAGTATTAATCATAATTAATAAACTCTATTCATATTCCATAAATATTCAAATCATAATAAATGAACTCCAATCATTTCTATAAATATCTCAATTAATTGGGTTGCAAAGGTTGTACAAATGCACAAGGTTGTAAAAGAAATATACACTATATATATATATATATATATATATATATATATATATATATATATATACATATTGTGTGATGTAGTTAATTGTATTATTGTGTGGGGAATTATTAAAAATTAATGTAGTTTTAATGTCGCGTTATCAAGGTCTTCGTTTTAAAATACGCTGTCAAACCGTAGACTTTCTCAGTAAAATAGATCAAAATTTGATTATTGTTTTTATACAGTTCGAACGATCTATAGGGTATTAGGGAATAATAAAATAAATAGAAGTTAGTACACGAATATATGTTTACTATCTATGCTATATTATAAAACATTTGCTAAAAACTTTTAAAATACCATCTTTTACATGAAATACTGTTTATTAATGCATATTATTTAAAATTCAAGATTATAATATTGTGCATAAATGCATGTTTGAATTCGTGTAACTAACTATAGATAATCATATACAGAATAAAATTTTCATTTTAAATATAAAGTCTAAATTATAAATAAGATAATTATTGAGTTTTAACAGAATACTTAGTTATTATTGCTATAAAAAAACTAGAAGGTTACTTGCATAATGCAACGAGATACATTTCAATTTTAATATTTTGTTTTATTTTTTGTCTCCGTCGATATGATACAGTTTTATATGGTTGATAAAGCAATAATGTTTTTATTTTTGAATAAAATATAAATTTGAACATATCATAAGACTTTGAAATTTTTTATCGATATTAGTATTAAATTAACTATTTAAAAATTCTCGGTTTTTCGTATAATTTTTCTAATTTAATTTATGTTTGATAATGAAATAATTTATTTTTTATTTAAATAATATTATTTATTATAAAGATAATAATTAAGTATTTGTTAAAAGACAAATAGTTATTCTAATTACATTTTAAAATTGTTATATTTAAAATGAGATGTTTATAATGTATTTATTATGTTTATCTACAATTAGTTACATAGATTATAAAATCGAGCTTTAGTAAGTTGTACTTATGTACAATTTACTTTGTAATCTTGAATTTTAAGTCATATGCATTAATAAACAATACTTTATGCATAAACAATAGTTTTTAAGAGTTTTTGTCAAATGCTTTGTAATATTAAATAAACCAAAACTAAATTACTTCGTTAGTAAATCTAAATTAAAACTATAACAAAAAAATTTGAATTAAAAAAATTACAGAAAAAATGATAACTTTTAAGTTGTTAAATTTGACACATCGGTATGTCGAAGGCAATCAACTGTCTAACTTCTGTAGATTCGTAGTGAGATTGACTGAATTCAGATCATACTTTTTAAATTTTTTTATAAGATATTCAAATTTATATTCTATTTACATATAAAAGTTTTCTCAAAACCACGTAAAATCGTATTATAACATTGACAAAGACAAAAAATAAAATAGAACATTAAAATTGAGATGCATCGAGCTATATTCAACGACTAATGGGTTGTTCGGTTGCCGCTTAATAAGTTGTATAAGCTATATAGCTTATTCGGTCATCCATACAAACCTGTTCGTATATGGCTTAATCATCCGGCCAATGACTTATTCGACCAACCAATAACTTATTCGACCAACCAATAACTTATTCGCTCAACAAGAAAAGATGTGTTGTTTAGATTCGGTCCAAAATTTTACCCATATGCCCTTCTCTAAAAGACTTTTCCTGCCTCCTTCAACAATCTTCAGACTCTCCTCCTCCCTCCTCATCTCTATCGCCTCTCCTTCGATGCTTCCCCCTGTCACCTTTCAACCATCTACATCTACATAATCTGTTGGGTTTTCGAATCATGACTCCTCCTAAATCAATTAAAAGAACACCCAATAATTTATTGGGTACTGTACGAAGTATTTGAACAAAAATGTTGTATTTTCAGGTACATCATTATGGATTGGATTAGTCTTTTTGGTGGGTATCCTTAATTCTCTCATCTCTTGAACCTATTGCCCTAGATCCAAAACCGAAATGACCCCCCGACCCCGCTACTAAGAAAGAGATTCACTTCTTAAAATATCTTATATACGTAGGCGGAAACAGGGGAAGGGGCCAGATTTATCCTGACGGGAGCAAGAGTAACAATACAGTTTATAATGCTACAGCATCAGGTATTGACCAATCAGAATTGCCTCCCAGGATCTATAATTGCCTCAAAAGGTCCAACACTGGTGGGTTTTTGAATCCCCTCCACCTCTGCAGCATCTGGTTTTCCAGATTTTTTTTATCTTGGTTCATGGTTTCATGAATTTCGATCTACGTTTCTATCAACAATTTCAAAATCTTGGGTCAAGACTTTCAATTTGGGCCATCAGCACTTAGAAAACTTAGGTCATTGGGTATTCATCAACACTTTCAACACAACATCATAGAAGATCGAGAGAGCAACAATTGTTGATTGGAGGTTAGAGCATAGAACAGGGAGCGAGGCTGTTGTCTCGATTGATTGGAGCAACAATAATTTGGTGGTTGAACTTGTGAATAAAAATTTCCACTTTGCTATGCAATTATTTTAACATGCGCTCTTAATCCAGGTCGAGGTAGAGAAAACTATATCACAAAAAAAAAAGATCAAAAACATCAAATATGATGGACTCGTCAACACTAAAAAAAACTGAGCTTCAATTGCACTATAAAAAACACTAAATTTATGGATCCCACATTAAAATAACATATTTTATTTACTATTTTTAATAACAATAATTATAATTTACAAATACATATTATAGTAACAATAATTATAATTTACAAATACATATTATAATAACAATAATTAGTAATAAATTTA